TGTTTTTCCAAAACGTAACTACTATTTCTTTTTCGGCCAATCGCTTAACTGAAACTAAATTGCATCCAATTTGTGGAACATACAAAACATTTTCTAACTTAATTTTTTTAATTTGTCCGGCATTATTTAAGGGATATATAACTACACTGCCCTTTCCGGATGCTAGCATCATTTCACCATTTACCATAGAAACACTTTCGGTATGGGAACTATCAAAATCATGAAACAAATTTCGATCACAAGTTATATGACATGTAGCCCCAGAGTCCACGATCCAATCGTTATTACTTTTAGTACCGACAAAAAATAAGTGTTCGGAAGATTCATCTTGTTCAATAACATTTGCTTTTGATCTACCATCTTTGTTTATCTTGTTAGCCTTCCACGTATTCTATGCATTTACTTCGGACAAGACCCTTCTTTTTGCAAAAGAAACACGTAATGCCACTCTCACTCTTACGTTTAAAATTCGATATGCGTAGCACATCTGCACCATCAACGGCAACAACTTTATCTCTTTCTTGCCTTCGACGAAACTCTTCTATAATTTTAGCGTTGACTAGGGTTGGTGTTAAATCCTTTTCGTTGTGTGCCTCCATTGCTGTAATGAGCCCATCATAACTACTTGGGAGGGATCCTAACAATGTGGCTGTCATTAAAAACTCCCATGTAATAGTGCTACCGAATGCGACAAGCTTCTGAAAGGCTTCGCTCATTTGATTGACATTTGCTTCCATGTCAGTTTCTTCGTTTGCTCTTTTTGACATCACTTCTCGAGGCAATCGAACTTTGACACTTGGAGAGTCACGTTCATAAAACTCCTTTAGCGCATTCCACGCCTCCTTTGCGCTGGATTTACCGCGTATATGATGAATTTAGTCATCGCCAATACACAAAGCAATGGTGGCGTGGGCTTTCTGGTCAATTCTTGTCCAACAGGATCTATTTTCATTAGTCGGCTCATCGACAATTACTGTCCACAATCCCTCACGCTTTAAAAACATTTCAATTTTGAAGCGCCAATTAAAATAATTGGTGATGTTAATTTATTTATATTTATTTTCTGCTGCTTATCAAAAATTTGATTTTTAATTAATCTAGGCAATCTTCTGGGCCCATAACCTTTTGTTGGAGCCAAAGATCGAAACACTGGTTTTATTAATTGAAATAATATTTATTTAATAGTAATAAATAGTAATTTGAGAGACAGGATTTTATAAACTTTTAGATAATTAAATTACTACGCTGTTCAAAGGCTAACACAAAAAGGGAAGATAAAAAGTAAGTTACAAAAAAAGGTTGAAAGATACAATATGACATTTGACAATAACAAAATAATTGATATTTATCGATTATAATAAAGATGTGAAAAAAGAAAAATTACAAAGAACTATATTGAAATTATTATAAATAAATTAATTGAAATTATTACATTATAAACCTCATACAATTTCACCGAAATAGTTATTTTATTTTAATATTTCAAGTCTATTTTGTCCCAGGTTTTCTATTTATTTGCTATGCTTGCTTTTAAAATAATGGATTCTATGTTATTGTTAACATTATTTCGCAATATTTTGGTAGCTACATAGGCTTCAATAAATTTAAATAAAATTTGATCTAGATTGAATTTTGAAAAACGGAAAAACCCGTTTCTGTGGATTTTATTGAGGATTATTGTATATTAATTCCAACGAAATAAATTCAATTCATCTATGTTAAAATTTAACAAGTAAGAGTATTATATTCGGCTATGCCGAATCTCGTTTGACTCGAATGAAACTTACTTATGTCGAATTTCATCTCAATACTCGTATTTTTAGGCCAGTTATAAGCGTTAAAGTAGTTTTCTGAAGGGGACCTTATATAGGGGGGGTAGGGTCAATTATGGGTCGATCCTCATAAAATTTGGTAGACAGAATTTGGTTCGTATGAAATTTATTTGTGTCGAATTTCATCGCTACGCTCGTATTTTTAAGCCATTAATGAGCGTTGCAGTCATTTTCTGAAGGGGGCCTTATATGGGGGATTTTGACTCGTATGAAACTTACTTATGTCGAATTTCATCTATGTACTATAGTAATAAATAGTGTAAATTTAAACAAAAATTTATAAGAGTGTAGAATTTTTCAGCCAGTAATGAGCGTTAAAGTCATTTTCTTAAGGGGACCTTATATGGGGGGGTAGGGTCAATTATGGACCGATCCTCATAGCATAGTGATTTTGGATCACAAGAAACTTACTTATGTCGAATTTTATCGCTATATTCGTATTTTTAAAGCTGCTGTTAAAGCTGCTTTTCGAGGGGCCACTTGTATGGGGGCTATCCGAAAACGTGGACCGATATTGCCCATTTTCAATACCAAACAAACCTTACCTATAAGAAATATTTATGTGAAATTTCAACCCTCTAGCTCTTTCCATTCGGACTCTATCGAGCTTTCAACAGACAGACAGACGGACGGACAGACATGGCTAAGTCGTCTTAGAATTTAATGAGGACCCAGAATATATATACTTTTGTGGGTCTATGACCAATATTTCGATGTGCTACAAACGAAATGACAAAATCAATATACCCCCCACCTTTTTTGATGGTGGGTATAAAAAAATCTGAAAATTTCCCAAAAAAATTAAAATATAAAAAAATCTGAAAATTTCCCGAAAAATTAGAAAATTTCTGATATGCCAAGCGCGTCTTTCAATTACTTTTCTTATGACACCAAAATTGTATATACAGTGAATCAACTAAGTTTTGCCTTCCTTTTTTAAGAGAATTTTGTTTTTTGTTCATTCAATAAAATTCGAAAAAACAGGTAAAAAGTAAGTTTATGTTTTCCAATTAAAAATAGAGATTGTGTAAAATGGGAAAACCAAGAAAATTTTAAAATACAAATTTTGGTGCACTTGCTGTTGCATTTTATTATTTTTCATCAGAATTTGCAGGTCAATAAAGTATTTTGCTTTTTTAGAATTCGTGTTAATTTCGTTTGGTTTTTCAAATTATTTTTTAAATACTTTTTGGAATTTATTGTTTTATTGTTAAAAGGATGCGTGTTAAGTATTTTTCAATTGCAATTTGCAAAAATCATATCCTCATTGTGTGAAACTGTGATGTTATTTGCCTTAAAAATGTTTAAAGGAAAATAATGAGGCAATTTCAATATAAAAAATTAGTTTAGATTTCTAGAACAAGTGTAAATCATTGAAATATAATTATGAGATGTTTAATCCATAACATTAAAAAGTATAAAATAGAGTAATTCATGAAATGATCCAAAGAATTATTAGAAAAAACGCACTGAGTGGTCTTTCAAAATCTTTAACTGCCAAAGGAAGGCGACTTGTATCCAAGGAAAATCATTGGACTCCTGATTTATCTTCTCCAAAATCCATATACGAACTAGGAGGAACACTATGTTTAAATTTAGGCCTCTAAACAGACCTTAGGTTGCTTGGAACCAATGTAAAGAGAACTGTCGTGTAGTACAAGAAAAATACCTTATTTAGATATTTTAAAATAGAGGTGGTTATCATCACCTAAGGTCAACAAAAGCAATATTTTTCAGCTAATACATACACTTATATATATTTAGAACCCAAATCAAGAATAACTATCCAGATTCAAATACGCCTACTGTATCTTATTCATAAAATAAAGCATTTAAAATATGAGGTTGAAAATCAAGATTTTAGCATGTAATAGTTCTATAGTGGTAAATTGCGATGTCCCCATACTTAGAGTGGCTAGGATGGTACTTTGTGTTGGATTTATTGAATAAGAATCAATATTCTACAATTCTAAATAATATTTATACAGTACTCCCCAAATAGATGGGGTTTCCGTAATGTAGTTTTTGTTTATCAATACAAAATTACCAAAAAAACCCAGATTATTTTTTGATTATCTAATATATCATGTATCCAATTCAAAATTATTTATTATTTTCGAAATTTAATAGATAGATTTTATGTTAAGAAAAATCCAAAAATAATAATTATTTTTGGATTTTTATTATAAAAATGATAACGGTTACGGTCCGTTATCATTTTTGACTATATATAATTTGTTAACTATAGCTAAGAATTTAACATATCGTAGTATTGGTAGACCCTCAAAAGTATATACATACATACATATGTATGTATGTAGGATTTTGTGAGTTAACTAAAAATCAAATTTTTTGGTAACTTATTAATAACTAGCTTCAAAGTAACCCAAAAATGATCACAGCTGCTGTTTTATTTATGCACTAGAAGCTAACTAATCATGAGTTAACTTCTGGTTAACTGAAACTGGTGTATAGTGAGTGAGTACTGACTCGTTCCTATGACATTACATTAAAAACCTGAATAGTATTTTATAAGCAAAATGGTTAGCTTTTGAGCCACCTCTGACTCATTTGTGGTTAACCATAAGTTAGTTTTAAGTTAACTTAAAATCCTACTTCGTATATGCGATTTGATATTTTAAACATTTAGGGCCAATCTTTAGGTGAAAGATTAGCGATTAAATTAAAATTAATCCTCGAAAGATGTTTTTGAGTACTCAATTAGTTAATTTTGTTTGCAAGTTTAAGCGCGCAATGGAGGTGGTTTAAACTTAAGCACGAAATGCAAAAGTGTAAACAGCTGATGCAAAAAAATTAATACTATTTTTACAAATGTAAACATTAAAATGTTCTATTTATTGATTAGTATAAATTATGGACACTTCAAAATACATTTTTTTGTTTTTAATTTAAGTTTTCATTAATTTTCATATTAAATTTACAATTGTCTTCTTCTTTTTTATAAAATATGCATTGTTTTGATAACAAACAGTGACGTTTTCTGCCATACAAGGCAAAACTGCGAAGTTTAATCTTGTACTCAAAAACATCAAAGAGGATTAACATAAGATTAAATTTATTTTTTGATTAACTAATCTGATTATTAATTGACATTTGATTGCCATCTCAAAAACCCGCTCTTAATGTGTATGTATTCTAAACATTCAGGCACTTAACCATGTAGGCCGTCTAAGTATAACGTGTGCACAAGCAAAACTTGCAAGAAACTACGGTCTAACTAGAATGGATCCATATGTACGAATTCGTGTAGGCCATTACGTTTACGAAACTCAAACTGACCCAAATGGTGGAAAAAATCCTAGATGGAATCGGGTAATACAAAGTCAACTACCTAATGGAGTAAATTCTATTTACGTTGAAATATATGATGAATGCAGTTTCAAAATGGATGAGCTAATCGCTTGGTGCGAAATCAAGTTACCTGAAAGAGTTTTTACTGGAGAAACACATGAAGAATGGTATCCCTTAAGCGGCAAGCAAGGCGATGGACTTGAAGGCGCAATCGATATTGTTTTAAGTTTTTCTAATCAACATTATATGTACCCAAATATTCAAGAACCGGCTCAAATGATAATGGTTCCGCCTGGACGGCCTACGCCAATTTTTGTTTCCCCACATCAACCAATTCAGCATACATCTGCACTTCCTTTTGTAATATCCGAAGCAGATTTGAAACAAGTAAGGGTGTATTAATATATTATATAAATCAGTTATACTTTTTTCTTTTTTTAAGGTACGTGAAATGTTTCCAAATATTGATGCTGAAGTTGTTAAAACATTGTATGAAGTGAACAGAGGAAATAAAGACTCAACTATAAATTCTCTATTACAGATGAACGAATAGTATGGGATATAATTGATATACATACATAAATACTTCATTTAATTCCATATCGATCATTTACTACAATACTGACTCAAAATTCAGCTTTTTCATACTGTTTTATATATTTTCAAAAATGTCAATTATTTTCGGCGTGAGTGTTTTTTTTTTGTTGTATGGGTCAAAAATAAAACTAATGTATGTTTGGCAAGTAAAAAAAATGTTTGTTTAAATTCATTTGGGATTTAAAAATTCCATGATTTGTTTTAAAATTATTTTATTAATAATAAAATATCATAAAACATTCAAACCCGTATTTCTCGAAACAGCTTATATGTATAAATATTGTATTAAGAAACTTTGTTTTATTTTACAAAAATAATTTCGTTAAAGCATGTAATGTTTAATGAAAGTACCGAATTTTTTTCGTAACAAAATTATTTAGTAATATGCAAGAATTATTTTTGATATTACAAAATAAAATTATTTTGTTACAATTTTTTTTTGTTATTTTCCTAATTTTAAGCGAGTTAAATTAAACGTAATTTTAAATTGACAGGAAATTAGCTACCTTATTTTTTAAGTTTTGAAGGCAAACATTTGATAATAATATTTTTTATTTATTTTAAACTAAAAGTATGTACATTAGGGTGTCCCGTGGACCACTTTTTAGTAGGAAAACCTCTAAAACGATGCGTTTCAATGTACTACATACGAGAAAAATAAAATAAAATTTTTTTGAAAGGGTCCTCAGGTTCATACCTGTGATTGAAAATCTTGTTCTGAGTACAATATGTCCAACAATTTTTTCTGCAAGCTTTTCGAATTAGGTGTCAAAAATTCCGTAATTTTGAGCTTATAGGCTGGTACTCTGTTTGAAGTCGTGAAAAATGTTTATCAACTTTTACAATTTGAAAAAATTGAAATGTATCAGTGTTATCTACCTAGGGATTTAATAAAATTTGTCGTTTTTATTGCTTATATAAGTAAACAAAACCAAATGTTTATGTTTGTTTGACAAATTTAAATTGAAAAATAAATTAAAAAGAAACATCATGTATTTTTGTTGTAAAAAAACTTTTTATGAATGACAATTGCATCTAAATTATGAAATATCGCGTAATATATAATGGATATTAGACGGCATATGGTCTCCAATAACTAAAGACCTGTAAATAAACTTTTATTTAAAATTTCACGTGAAATAACTAGAGTCTATATTACTTCATACAAATGAAAAAAATGTTGCTGAAATGTCGTTAGAAACATTTCACAAAAATACAAACAGAGTACTAATTCAGCAACATTTTTCCATAAAATTTTCATTACAATTTTTTTTTTTTGTATGAAGTTTTTAAAAATTTCACGTGAAATTTTGAACAGAATACCAAGCTTATCGCGGAAAAGGGAACTTTATTTGTAATAGGTATCGACCAGAAATCTATGGCTAGTCTTGCCAAGAATAAAGGTAGGGCTTACTTCGCCTCTAAAGCTGTCATATTCAAAATTGGGAAGGTGCCGATTGGAATGGCTGTTACAACAAGCCTCGAAAAGGACACTAAAATACCTAAGACCACAGCATCAGTAGCAACTACTGATAACGTTAAGGTGTCAAATCCTAAAAGCGGGGAGGAAATCCCTCACTCGTCAGAAGACAGAACAGCAGTGCTGTCCAAAATTGGGAAAGTGTCGATTAAAAAGACTGCTCTTCCTATGCCTGATAAGGACACCGCATTGCCATCAATGGTACCCAATGCATCAATAGCCACTTCAGGTTACCCGGAGGAGTCAAATCCAACGAGCGGGGATGTGATCACTAGCTCGCTGGAAGACAGTTTAAAAGGATGACAATGATTGAGGTTATCCAAATAAACCTCCATCGGAGCGAGAAAGCTACCAACGCTCTGATGGCTAAAATTAACACAGGTAAGATACATATAGCTTTAATCCAGGAACCTTGGACAAGGTTTCTGGATTAAATAACGTAAATTTCCAACTTTTCTACGCTGATACGGGGTCTCGACAGAGAACATGTACTGTGCAATGGTACTGAAGCAAGGTCGTGGCAACATATACCTTGCATCTGTTTACCTGCCTTTCGATTCTCCGACACTACCACCAACGTCGGAGCTGATAAGGCAAAATAAGAAAATTGTAATAGGTTGTGATGCCAACTCCCACCATGTAGCTTGGCGTAGTACAAACACGAATCGCAGGGGACAAGCCCTTATGGATTTCCTTAATACTAAAGACTTGATCACATCGAACTTAGGTAATAAAGCTACCTTCGTCAATAGAATCAGAGAAGAAGTATTAGATATAACTATATGTTCAGAAGAGCTTATAAACGAAATTCAGGATTGGAAAGTTTCTGACGAGCACTCCTTTTCTGACCATCGGTACATAAGATTCAAAATACTACGGCCGCCACCAAAGCCGATAAAGTTTCGGAATAAGTCTAAAACTAATTGGACAATGTTCGGTTCCTTACTAAAGAACCGTTTATGTCAGAACACTTTTCAATGTCGAAATAAAGAGGACATAGACGCCAAAGTAGAAATGCTCACAAGTGCCTTGGTTGAATCGTTCGAGGACAGCTGCCCTCTGCGAGAGCGGAGATCTGCCCAGGAGAAACCCTGGGTAACCGGGGAGATCCGGAACCTTGGTAAGACTCTTTGCAAACTATTTAACCGGGCACGGCGTAAAAAGACCACAGTATACTGGGATGAGTATCGTAGTAAACTTGGTGAATATAAGAAAATTGTTCGTAAAGCCAAACGAGACTTCTGGAAACTTTTCTGTGAACAGGTAGACAGCGTAAATGACGTATCGAAGATAAAAAAATTCCTATCCAAAACTCATGTCCAACCAGAATCTATGGTCGATGATACGGGCAGGAGGCTGGAGGATATGGAGGAGACAATGAAACTCCTAATGGACTCTCATTTTCCACCCGGTATATCGAATAACATAGATGAACCGATATTGGTTAAAGGGGCAATCAAGAGCTTCGCCCCCTATAAAGCTGCAGGGCCGGATGGCATTTTCCCGGCACTCATACAGATGGAGGCGGGACTGGTTTCCGTACATCTGTCTCAAATATTCACTGCATGCTTGAAATTCACATATACCCCCATTAAATGGCAGGATGCAAGGGTAATATTTATACCTAAACCAGGGAAACCTAGCTATTCGACACCTAAGTCTTATCGACCGATAAGTCTTACGTCCTTCCTACTTAAAACTTTGGAACGGATAGTTGATAGTATGGTGAAAAGCAGTATACCCGACAAAGACCTAAAATTTAAGCAGCATGCTTATGTAAAGGGACGATCGGTGGAAACCGCTTTAAACGAAGTTGTCCACTACATAGGTGCATCCTTTGATAGCAAACTATATACACTGGCGGTATGCATTGACATCGAAGGCGCCTACAATAACGTGCACACTGATACTCATATCCAATCCCTAGACCAGTTTTATGTTGACCGGGTGCTCCGTAACTAGATCAACCACATGCTAAGGAACAGATGGATAAGCTGCGAGATGTAGGAAAAAGGTATATCGCGGTATACCTCAGGGTGGCATTTTGTTACCTTTACTCTGGATTACCGCGATTAATAGCCTCCTAAGGACTCTGACTGAGAAAGGTCTTAGACCTGTCTGCTATGCAGACGATGTCGTAATATTTTTAAAGGGAAAGGATCCAAATTACTTGTGTAGAAGAGCAAGAAAGACAAACATATCTACGTTTACTGAACCTTGCTTCCTGGGCAAGAAGATGCCAGTGACAGACAAAGTTAAGTACTTAGGTGTAATCCTCGACCGGAAATTAAAATGGAGACACCACATAGAGGATAGGATAAACAAGGCACATCGGTGCTGGGCAATATGTAGGATAACTATAGGCATGAAATGGGGTCTTAGTCCTACTATGACAAATTGGCTTTATAAAAGTGTAATTAGACCAATTCTAGCTTATGCTTCAATAATCTGGTGGACTGCTTTAGACAAAGAGTGCAGTATCAAACTACTACAGGGAGTTCAGCGTACATGCTGCTTGGGTATAAGTGGTGCCATGTGTACTACTTCAACCAAGGCTCTGGAAGCGTTGCTAGATATTCCATTGAAACATATTTAAGATATGAGGCGGCGCTTACAGCCGAACGGCTCTTTACTTTAGGCCAACTGGCCAAAAGCGCTTATAGGACACGTCATCAATGTATACTGGACACATTGGAAGGTTATACACAATCATCGGATGTGCCGGATCGTATACCAGACACAGAATATGTCGGAAACTTTGAAACGCTGATCCCAGATAGAATGTCTTGGTCAAGCGGAACATTAGAGCAAATACCATTAGGAATCCGTTGTTACACGGATGGCTCTAAATTAAGGGAACAAAGTGGGGCTGGGTTTCTATATTGAAGACCCAGAAACAGAATTATACCACCGTTTACCAAATCATAACACAAGCTTCCAGGCAGAAGTACGAGCAATAACGGAATGCGTAAATTGGATTAGAATAAATATGGCGCCCACAGCGCTTAATATATTTACCGACAGCCAGACGGCAATTAGGGCGATATCAGGCGATAGAACTAAATCTAAGACCGTATTGGATTGTAAGAAAGCTTTAACTGAATACTCTCCCAGGGGCAAGGTTCACATCATATGGGTACCAGCCCACTCGGGAGTAGTCGGTAACGAAAGGGCGAATGTAATAGCTTTAAAGGGAAGGGAGCTCGATGCAGTTAACCTGACAAACGCAAAACCATTCGACGCAACAAAAGCTGAACTAAAAATATGGGTGAGAGAATCCCATAAGGCCTCTTGGAATAATGAAACAGTGGGTAGAACCACGAAGATCCTATGGGGTGACCCTGATGAGAGCAAGACGAAAAATCTCCTCAAAATGAGCAAGTCTGAAGTTAGTATGATGGTACGTATTCTGAGTGGACACACAGGACTACGAGCACATCTTTGCAAAATTGGACGTGCGGATTCAGACGAATGTAGAGCATGTGGAGAGGACAGTGAAACTCTGGAGCACTTCCTTTGCCACTGCCAGGCATTCGTCGAAGTTAGATCCAAGTATCTTGGAAGTGATGTTATTCCGGAAATAACATTCCTGACTAACACTGATTGGAAGATTCTTAGGAATTACGTTCAGGAAACTGAGTTTCTGAACACTGAAAAATAATTATTTATTTATTTT